ATTCTGGTTCGGGGGATCTCTTTTTCCTGGCTGAATATACTGTCCAGTGCTTGGATTCTTTTTATTGACTTGCCCTCTGGGTCGGCGAGGCGGTCGGTGACAATACCTAGCAACAATGCTTCCAAGTAGCTGATGGTCCGCAGAGCATTGTGTTTCGTGTCGAGCGCAGTGCCGCGGTCTTCGTGGCTGCGGTTGAAGGTTCGGGCGCGTGTCCGACATTTCCCACCAAGCGGGATCCATCTTCGTGGTTGCAGCCGAGTTTCAGGCCTGAAGACTTGGGGCTAGGGAATAGAACCTTACATTTTCGGCCGATCAACAAGAGCCCCCGATGGTCTAGTTGGTTCATGGCGTTCGGCTGTAATAGAAATTGTAACCGAAAAGTCACCAGTTCGATTCTGGTTCGGGGGATCTATGCTCTTATTTTGGAGATGTGGTTGTCGCTTACCTTTTGTGAGCCAGGCGCTCAGGCAGGGTCATCAAATATAATTTTCAGCCGCTAGATCAACAAACCCCCGATGGTCTAGTTGGTTCATGGCGTTCGGCTGTAATGGTATAATTGTAACCGAAAAGTCACCAGTTCGATTCTGGTTCGGGGGAATTCTTTTTGTTTCTCTCTCTTTTAGAGCAACCCCAAGAAGATTGAGAGTAGTTTGTTAGCATACGACAATGCATTCTTAGAGTCTGACCTAGTGGGGCAGCGACACCACGAATCTATTTTGTGAAAGAGTCGGGTTCAAGCACAGGAGAAAGCCATCGCAGCAGCAGAGTCTAGTGGCGACTGAGAAAGCTGGTCAACGGGTGCTTCTGACCCTGCCCACCTACGCTGCCTGACGATATGAGAGGATCCATTCAGAAGTTGTTCCGAGGACAGGGAATCCAGCCTACAAGTTGGCAGGAGGCCTACTGGCATTGGATGCCTTTGTGAGCCGTCAGCGAGATGGCACGTTCCAGAGTTGTGGCCCATATCGTCGAACCGCGCGGTTCTTTCATGCTGTTACAGGATGCATCGAGGAGGGTATGAGGCAACATCCTTGGCTGCTTCCAAAAAAGGCACTGGGTTTAATGCATCCCTCGCCTGGTTCTTCCAACCACTGCAAGCGAAACCAAGACCTAGACCGAAGAACCAACCATCCTGTGTCTTCCCTCCATCAATGGATTTAAGGGGGACGAGAGTCGTGGTTCTCGGAATTTGCGCGCAAGTTTGTAGAGTGAAAGTGAAGTGTACGTGTACAATACATGCGCATGTTGTCATGACCCGAAGGGATTGTCGAATATTCCTCAGTGGATGCTGGATGATCATGCAGAGAATGCTCATACTTGCATCTCCCACCCCGTCAGCTTCTACCGCGCTAATGCTCCTTTACCCAATACTCACGCTGGCCTCAGCTTGTATTCAGCCCCCCCTCTCCCTTTAGCTGGCTAGGGACGTTGAATGCATCTGACCCCGAACTCAGCTCGCCATCCTAGCATTTCTGGGCCTTACCGCGCAAAGGGAAAGGGGTTGGCGCATAAATGAACATGATGATCCCTTGCACTCTCATTGCATCTATGACACCATGGTCAATCGACCCAGTGTTCGAATTGCAGGTACTGAAGCTGATAGTTAGGTCTTGGTTGATATTCCTGTTTGCGTGTGCAAAACATGTAGTCTCACTCCTCGGATGGGACGCTTTGCTTCGATAGATAGTTGTTGTATGTCGACCGAGTCGTGGGGCGAGAAGGTAGGTCTATCCATTGCCAAGTTCACAGGAAGATTCGGGCAAAAAAAAACAGGGAGGGGGGGGACAAAAACAAGAGCCATTCGGTAGTTGCTCGGAGATCATGGGATGGGGATGATGCTGCAAGAGAAGCAAAAAAAAAAGAAACTTCCCCCGAACCAGAATCGAACTGGTGACTTTTCGGTTACAATTATACCATTACAGCCGAACGCCATGAACCAACTAGACCATCGGGGGTTGCTGATGTAGTCACAGCGGTATTGGTCTACTTGTTCGGCCGGATCCACTAACTAATGAGATATAGAAAAGAAGACTTGCAGACACGGAAGGGCGTGCCGCGGACAACCGAAAGCATAAATAGCGATTCACAGACCATGGATCCACCATGGAATGCGGTAACCGAAGCTTGAAGCCTTATATAGTGTCAGGTAGCGCTTCGGATAGTTTTTGTGAAGGTACAAGGTGCAACACTGCAAGTTGAGCAAGGCCTTCGCACGGGCGCTTGCTGCCATGTTCAGAAATAAAGCCACGGGTACTTGGAAACTCAAGAGTGATCAGCAACGGTCCACGAGTCAAAAATCACTGTGACAAACAAAACCCGCAGCCTGCCTTATCCCATGTGTATGCGGCCTTACAAGAGGTCAAAAGAGCAAAAAAGATAAGATCCCCCGAACCAGAATCGAACTGGTGACTTTTCGGTTACAATTAATACCATTACAGCCGAACGCCATGAACCAACTAGACCATCGGGGGCTTCTCTTGATTAGTCATGTCAAATCTGTAGCTATAGAGGGCCAGCAGCTCCATCAGCAGATCTAGTTCCTGGCTACGAACAGCCTGGTTAAGAAATGGCTGGGTAAGTTTCCGGGAACAGTCTGGATCGACAGTATTGAGCGTGTTTCTTTGAAAACTACCGCCTCAGGTCTTGGTGCAGAAACGCAGACTGTATATTCTTCCAATTTAAGCTCTCAGGGGCTCCTGTGACAGATCGGCAGTATTCCTTGAACAGATGTGTTATTGCAATAGTATAATCTCCCTTCTGCGGCGTGGTCGTGTGTTCCAATGAGCTCGTTTGGAGGCACTGGGAAGCTCCGTCCTTCTTTCGACCTCTTCTTCCCTGCATCTGCATTGTATCGCCCCACACGCACCCTCGTACCTGATATATACTATCTGGGTACCAAGGCAGCCTTCCCTATATTCGTTTGTCAACGCCTGTCGCAAACGGTCGCCTCTCTCGCCAATGGCGGAATCCGTGGTGAGAATGCGATTTCTCAGCATGGTAGCACACAACATAGGCACGTTGTCGTTGGATCAGAGAACCGCATGCTACTATCACTGACCGGTTGGGACCGGTCTGCCATGTTCGACTTGCCTTGACTACTAGCGTCATTAACACACGCCTCGAGCTCTCCTCCCGTCACCATTTGTGCTGTCGCGAGTGCCAGATAACTTACTGTACCCTTAGGAGAGGCATGTAGAGTATTCCCCTAGAGGGGGTCTCGGTGCATACCGGACTCGTCGACCCAGGTGGGGGCTTATGCTACAGCTCCGTCTGCGAGTAGCATGCACCTGGTGGCGTCTTCGGTTGGGATGTTAGCAGGCAGACCCGCATGGTCTTCATCAAGCACAATATATAGCCTGGTAGGGCTAATCGATGGTCCGAATATATCGGGTGTAGTTCGTAACACTCTTTGTCTAATGTTAGTAAATGCTCCGTTTTACTGGACTCATCATTTGAGGTGACTTCATCATCCAGGTGAGGCAGGGAAATTCTCGTAGCCATCCGAGTACAGTGGTCGTATGCAGATTAGATCCTCCCTGTGCAGCCACGGCGGACATCACAGGTCTTCTATGCCACTGTGGGACCGGATCGGTTGGTGCGTGGAATTTGTGAAGTGCTTTAGTCCGCTCATTTAACACAATGTCTTGACAATATCACGTGCAACGGGGCAATGGCGCATCTGGGAGCGCGTCAGACTGAAGATCTGGAGGTGGCCGGTTCAAGCCCGGCTTGCCCCAACGTTTATCTTTTTTTTTTGGTTTTTTTTTGGTGTCTATATCAGCTCTAGCGGGTCATCCGACACGGAGTCTGAAAGTGGAGGCATCTTCCCCTGCGCCGGCTAGCGAGGCGGGTAGGGCTTCTTGTCGATGGGATATCTGCCGCCGTACACCGCCTGCGTTTTGCATCATGCCTTTCATTGATCCAGTATACCCTGCGCTTGTATGTGATTGCTTGAGCTTGACATAAACATAAGTTAATAACAGTGATCTGCCGGGTGATATCAGAGGATGGATTAGTTGCCTATGGGACCCTAGAAAAACAACTGCACCAAAGTAGTTCATGTTAACACAAGTCCCTGTCGTGATCAACAGCCCGACGAACATTCGCCGGCAGCGCCATGAGAGCTAGATGCAAGATAAGCTGTAATTATGCTTTGGAAGGGGGATAACACTATTCAAATCACCAGAATATAGCTGCAATTGACAATTGCCACGGGTGTTGTTGAGAATATCTGCTGTGAAAAGGCTAGCGGGAATGGTCTATAATACCGGAAGAAGGGAGCACATTTCACCAATTTAGGGCAATGGCACATCTGGGAATCGACAGGTAGTGTCAGAATAATATCTGGTGTTAATCCTAAGTATCCCATAAGTACTAAGAAAGAATGACATACTTGAGTCGACGGGACGATGGCGCATCTGGGTGTTGAGCATGTCTGCTGTGAAACCGGACTTAGCGCGGGTGGTCAATAGAGACCAAAGAAAAAGAGTTCATTTCATCAAATTCGGGACGATGGCGCATCTGGGAGCGCGTCAGACTGAAGCACTAACTTCGGCCGCCAGGTTTCATCCTTCGGGATGTCCCTAGTAATCTGAAGGTGGCCGGTTCAAGCCCGGCTCGTCCCATTTTCTTTTTCCTCGTTCTTTTTGATACCGTCGCCCCTCCATCGTCTGACATCTGTCAACATCACCATTACATCTGAATACCCAGCGACAGATACCCTCCGCTTCCTTTATTTTGCTGGTCGTGGGTCAACTCATTGTACGACACCCTAAACCAATGTTTGCGCAGAAAGATTCTGCTCCAGCGAATAATCTCATGTGACAGGTACCTACTTACGTTACTCACTCTCAGCCTCGTGCGGACCGTGTCTCATTGGTTAAGTGATCCCCATCCAGAGGCCCAGGTTGGCGTCGAGCTTTCAGCTCCAGGCTCCGCCTCGTACGAGGAATCAAAACTTCCCCTGATCAGTTGCGACAGGCCGCCAAGATGGGGCATCTCGTGACTAGCTTGCACCTTCGCGCAGCGGTGGCAAGGGACCTCTGCATACGATTGGTGAAAACAAGCGAGCTGAACGAAATGAGCAACAGAAGGGCAGCCTGGACCAGCTCCACCACTAACGGCGTGGATATATGATCCTGGGATGCAATGCCCTCGCTGCCGCCCGGCATGGACGCGCCCAAATCGTACGTGCGGAAGAACAAAGTCGCATATAGCACCACACCATGCGGTTCCAACTCTCCGAGCTAGACCCCGAATCTGACGCTCTCTCCGAGTTCGTCGCCTGCCAGGTTGCCAGTTTCGGGGACCCATTCCAACCGATTTACCGGTTCTTCTACCCCATCTTTGGAGGTGAATCTAAGGCACAGAAGCAAGAGGCGCTCATGAACCTCGTGCAATTGCACCGAGAATGGGCTCGCGAGGACCCGGACTCCGTCTTTTTGCAGATCAGGGACCGTGAACGGGACAACAAGTTTGTTGCTGGGGTTTACTTCAAGGTCCACAGACAGAACCCGTACGCGCGAGGAGGAAAAGGGGACCTGAGCTGTGACAGCGAAGAGCACAACCCGTCTGCTGCGCTGTGGTATCCAGAGCGGGTTCGACGAAAGTATATCACGCGATGCATTGAGATTTTCTCCGAACCGCACATGAAGCTCATGCAGAAGCCGCATGTTTGTAAGTTGTTGCTCTCGTGCCGTCGATCTGGATTCCCCTCTTGCCCGTGAGCTAAATACGCGAATTGGTAGATATATTCGTCGGGTTCGTCTTACCCGAGTACCGCCAACTGGGTCTGGCAGACATGCTCTTGGCTGAGGTCTGTCGACGGGCAGACGAATTGGGGCTCGAGTCCTGGCTCGAAGCAGTTATCGCAATAGGGGTGACGATCTACAGGCGCCACGGGTTTGTCCCCTACAGTGGCGGTCTTCTGGTTCAGCCTGCCGCGACAGAAGTGGAGGCTCAGGATGCGGATTGGAAGGACATCGAGGCCAAGATGCAGCCTCTGCGATACTGGCCCATGTGGCGGCCCCCTCATGGAAAGCTAGAGCTCGGGAAGATGAGCCCACCCTGGGGCGAGCTGAGTACGAGTAGGAGATTCTTGGGCAGGCTATGATTTCCGAGGTGGCTGGCGATTACCACTGTTCGGCAGTGGAAGTCTAGGTTGGTACCAATAACTTTACAGGTACTGTCGTGCGTCTGATCTGGCATGCTAATACCATATGGGATGGCCCCCCTCCCCCCTCCCCCCCCTTCGAACCACGGCAATCCACGGGTTGTTATCTCCCCTTTACCCATATGCCACTCACCCAACCCCATGCCTGGCCCTCTATCATGCATGGCTGCATGCAATCTGTCCTAAGGGGCACACTTATCCCGCCTGCTGAATACCACCCTAGATGAAGTAGGCCAAATTGATCACCGTCGTTGGTTCCCGACATCAACCGGCAGTACTGATCTGGCCAAGAATTATTCCAGTACAGGAGAGGTGTTGAAGACATGTTCAGCTACGCAGGCCACGATAAATCTACAGCGAGGTACAACTCATCCAAAGCCAGGAGAGGTATGATCTCGCCTGCCGTACTCCCAGTCCAACCGGATTGCCCGTCGACGGTTTGGATGACACTTTCTTCATACTCCTCGATCTCCGACAAGCCATACGGTGCGGTGCGTCAAGCGTCATAGACTAGACCGTGGACAACCCTGAAGTCATCGCAATCGGTTAGGACTCCGCCCCTTGTATTATATCACAGTAGTCGCCAGCAACCGAGATGCTAGCCCACCTACCCCGATGCTATTGCCGCTTGACAGGCCCAACTCATCGCGGCACGAAGATGTATGCAAGCTCGAACAGAGTCAGGGACGGCAGGTAACCTAGCATTGGTACACACGGCGTGTGCCAATGTGCTAGTCACATCCCTGTGCTACGCCAGTGACCCTTCGTTTCAGAGAGTGCGACTACTGAATAGTGAAAACTCTCAGCGAAGTACCTCGTGGCGCGTACTGCTGTTTATATTAGTAGACTCCCAGGCGGTACACTCTACCTTACTGCAAGCGTATATTGTGCAATCAAATTGCTTCTCACATCGAATACCCCCGATGGTCTAGTTGGTTCATGGCGTTCGGCTGTAATGGAAGTTGTAACCGAAAAGTCACCAGTTCGATTCTGGTTCGGGGGAGTTCTATTTTTTTTGCCTCTGTATTTTCCCCCTACCCATCCACCAGGGCTTTCGGCAGGGAGCATCTCAATCGGTTTTCTTGATGTAGCTCTGAAACCACCGCTCGGTCGATGTCCTCAACACCCGTGACTGTGACAGTACATAGAAACAAGCCCATGTTCCCTTCGAGTCTATCCAACCAGCAGCGACCGGTTCTCCTCGACGGATGTATCCAATCAGTGGGAACTTCAGCGACGGAGCGAGCCGTCAATGCAACCGTGCTTATATCCGTCCTACGGGCATCCAGGTTGAACTATAAATACCCCTCTACAGAGATCCAGACTCAGCCTGGAACGGGGCCGGTTAGTTTATTCTCCCAGGATGAACAAAAACGCCATGCTTGAGCATCGGTCCAGCTGGGCTCTATACACCATACCATGCCCTCATCCTCGTCCCGGGGGCCAACCATTGCTTATGACGTTGTCGACAGATAGTGGACCAGACGGATTCGTCCGTGTATGTAGTGATGCAGGGGCTATGCAATACTTATGCCCCCCTCGACACGTGGGAGATAAGGTCATCGTGTTCTCCAGCAAGGAGTCGCCGAACCTTAGTTAACCTCGGAGGATGACGAATGCGTGTGTATGGATATACTTGGCTGTGCTGTGCGCACAACAACGGCGGCGCTGTTGTTTCCTCTCGTGCGGTGGGCTTCTGTGCCATGGTTTTAGTACAGTGAAAGGGATGTATGATTTGAACCTTGGTGGCCAAAGGTGTTGAGATCCAAATGCAGGGTGTAACTTACAGCGCGTCCGATACATAAGAGGTGGTAGACCTGCCGCTGGCTGGCTGTGTTGCTTGCACCGCGCCTCCAGGACGACCGGCCTCCGCTGTGTTGGGGCGTCAATTCTATTTTCCTTGATACTTGTTTTTTTATGATCGTTTCTTGGGCTATGGAGGACTCGGTGTAGTTGGGCAGGATTCCCTAAAAGGACAAAGAGAGAGACGGGAGGGGAAAAACGAAGCGTGCAACAGGAAAGTTAACGAAGTGGTAACCCACCCAACTACCCAGCAGCCGAAAAAAAAAAACATTCCCCCGAACCAGAATCGAACTGGTGACTTTTCGGTTACAACTTCCATTACAGCCGAACGCCATGAACCAACTAGACCATCGGGGGAGTGGTTATCGTTTTTGTCACAGAGTATGTTGTACCAAGGCATAAAACTAGATGAAGATTTACATGGCCACATGCACGATGCGATGTTGGAAGAATGAGAATCCCCTCCATCGGCTATGAGCTATGTTTCTTGGTGGTAAGCCACTTTTGAGGGCGAGAGGACATTCTTAAATGTATATGCACGCTTGATCAGTCGGTGCTTAGCCTAGATGCGACGACCTATCTATCATGTCGACGTTGAGCCATGTACAATGCGGTATTTCGATATGGGCCAGATGGGCGGGGCTTGGGATATACGGTAGAGGCCATGAGCTAGGTAGGTAGCCTGCGACGGCGACCACGTGTATGTGGCCTCGTCGGTGTATGTCTTTCGTCTCTGCGTTCGGATCCAGTGATGAGTGGTGGGCTGTGTGTGTTGGGAGCGTGATCTAGACCCCAAATGCCGGCCCAGCTTCGGTAACGACAGCGACGGATATATACATCTCAGGAACCAAGGGGTCGTCCATTCGACGTAAGTAATCCCGACACCTTGAGACAAGAACAAAGAAACCACAAGCCACCTGCAGCACAAAGGGAAGCCATGCACGACAACCCGGAGCGCGAAAAGGCAACAGTGCAAGAAAGCAGCCCGCAGAGACCGGCACCCTGTTGCCGTCATGTACACCCTCTCCAGTCTATTCTTCGCCCGCCATCCATCAGAGGCCAGCCACCACAATCCAGCAAACTCACCGCACTGAAAGTGAAGAAGCACACCACAGTCACCACACATACCGAAGGCTGATTCCCACCACTAAATGCAGACCCAGACAGGGAGCCTCACCATCCCAACCAACCCCCACAGAACCACGGAAGGCGACACTGCCAGAGATAGATAGATAGACAGACAGACAGACAAACACCAGAGCTTCCCATATCAACACCATGACCCTTCCTCCTCCCACCCTCCCCCTTCGCATCCATAGCACAAGCCAAACAACCAACCACCGAGATCGGTCTACCAGCCACCATCGCGCCCAGAGAACAATCGACACGCATAAGCAAAGCAAAGTACAAGCACACTGCACAAACACCATCCAAAAACAGGACTGTCAGGAGCTCGAAATATGCTATGCCTGCGCAAAAGCGGGCTCTTCTATGCACCGTGCGACCACAGAGGCGCCTCGATGCGCACGTAGTATGCGAGAAAGACGCCGCAGATGATGAAGGACAGCTGGGTCTTGGTCCAAGACAGGGTTGATCGATGCCGCCGAGATCATCAGGGCTACTTAACTTCTCCAGCCCAAGCCGCAGAGCAGGTTTAAAGTGGACGATGCCCATCCGAGCATGGCACAAGAGACTTACCAGAGCTTCTCGGCGACAACTGGTGATAACAAGGTGACGAAGGGAGCACGAACACTGGACCAGCAGGACATTGGTCAGCGTGGTTCAAGCTATACCAATGTAATATTGACGACGTCAGGTCAGGACAACTACAATCTACCAGCAGGGACAGAAACAATCTACGGTAGGAAGAAAATAGAACGAAATGATTCATGATTCAAGTTTTGTAGGATCAACTACATAACCCAAGTCTAGTTCCGTAATTCCATATTTTGTAATCATGAAAGCATCATCACAACATCATCACCCTTCAGAAACCAGCTTATTTCTTACCAGCCTTCTGGGCAGCCTTGGTGACCTTACCGGCACCACCGGCGGACTTGTCGACGGCCTTGATGACACCGACGGCAACGGTCTGGCGCATGTCACGGACGGCGAAACGACCAAGGGGAGGGTACTCAGTGAAGGACTCAACACACATGGGCTTGGAGGGGATCATCTTGACGATAGCGGCATCACCGGACTTGATGAACTTGGGGTTCTGCTCGATGGCCTTACCGGTACGGCGGTCAATCTTCTCAAGGAGCTCAGCGAACTTGCAAGCAATGTGAGCGGTGTGGCAGTCGAGGACGGGAGCGTAACCAGCGCCGACCTGACCGGGGTGGTTGAGGACGATGACCTGAGCAGTGAAGCTGGCGGCACCGGCAGGGGGGTCGTTCTTGGAGTCACCGGCAACGTTACCACGGCGAACCTCCTTGACGGAAACGTTCTTGACGTTGAAACCAACGTTGTCACCGGGAACACCCTCCTTGAGCTGCTGGTGGTGCATCTCAACGGACTTGACTTCAGTGGTGACGTTGGCGGGAGCGAAGGTCACGACCATACCAGGGGTGATGACACCGGTCTCGACACGACCAACGGGCACAGTTCCAATACCGGAGATCTTGTAGACATCCTGGAGAGGAAGACGGAGGGGCTTGTTGGAGGGACGGACGGGAGGCTCAATGGCGTCGATGGCCTCGAGAAGGGTCTTACCGGTGGCCTTGCCGGACTTGGTCTCCTTCTCCCAACCCTTGTACCAGGGGCAGTTGGAGGAAACCTCGAGCATGTTGTCACCGTTGAAACCGGAGATGGGGACGAAGGGAACGGCCTTGGGGTTGTAGCCGACCTTCTTGATGAAGTTGGAGGTCTCCTTGACGATCTCGTTGTAACGGTCCTCGGACCACTTGCAGGTGTCCATCTTGTTGAGGGCAACAATGAGCTGACGGACACCGAGGGTGAAAGCGAGCAGAGCGTGCTCACGGGTCTGGCCATCCTTGGAGATACCAGCCTCGAATTCACCAGTACCGGAGGCAATGATGAGGATAGCGCAATCGGCCTGGGAGGTACCAGTGATCATGTTCTTGATGAAGTCACGGTGACCGGGGGCATCTATGGGGAATCGGTTAGAAGGTGCAGGATAGCTTGTAGAGTCTGGGAGACAACTTACCAATGACGGTAACCTCATACTTGGCAGTCTGGAACTTCCAGAGAGCGATATCGATGGTGATACCACGCTCACGCTCGGACTTGAGCTTGTCAAGAACCCAAGCGTACTTGAAAGAACCCTTACCGAGCTCAGCGGCTTCCTTCTCGAACTTCTCGATGGTACGCTGGTCGATACCACCGCACTTGTAGATCAAGTGACCGGTAGTGGTGGACTTGCCGGAATCGACGTGGCCGATAACGACGATGTTGATGTGAGAACGCTCTTCCTTACTGTTGGAGAGGAAATGAGTTAGCTGGATGATTCTTTTGGATGGAAGATCCAAGCCACCACTGCTCGTGTGGATGGAAAACTCTGAATGTTGGCTGGACCTACCCCATGGTGACGGTGTTGTGAAGTGAACTTTTGAAAAGGTTCTAAAAAAATTGCTCAGATACTACGGCCACAAATGCGTAGAGGTGCTGAACAACAAAAGTCAGTAAGAGAGGAATGAAGAAAGGAAGAGGAAGAGGGAAGAGGGAAGCGAGAAGGAGGGGGGAAAGATATACGTACTGAAGCGGACGGGGAGGGAAGGAAGAAAATTCTGTGGGAGGGGGGAGGAGGGGAAATCCTTATATGGAGGGGTCAAGCGAGAGGGCGACTAAGCGGGCGGGCTCCAACCCTTGGCGAATAATGAGCGCAATTGGACATGGAGGGGTAAACCAGGTTGACCCAGCCCCACTTCCAGTCTGGTTGGTTCCAAATGCGGGCCCAGCGCAAAAAAAAATCTTCACCTGCTGGGCGGAGCCTGGACTGCTTGCAGCATGAGCCGACTGAGCAGACTGAGTAGACTGAGCAGAGCCCATGCGATCATTACTTGGTTCTGCTTATCCTGTCTATTCATTTTGAACCACTCGGAGTCCTTACTTGCAACCGTATCCACTATATCGAAGAATTTTTTTTTCTTCTTTTCTTTACCTACCCTTTTCCCTTCTTTCCACCTATCCAGATACTCGGTAGTCGGTATTACCCCCTATCCTTTTCTTTGGTACCTCTCCCTCAAAAATTGCCTCCAGCTGGCTACATACTACCAAATCCGTAAACTCAAGGTGGGGGTTGCAGCACGTAGGTACTACTGTTCAAGGTTCCCGTAAGTACCCCTCGGTTTGGACTGAAATTCTGGGCATCAACGCAGGTAAGGAGTGGATTTTTGCTGCTGGTCCGACTTCTGTTGGCCTTGTTTGCAACAGAACCCCGCGGCAGGTGGCAACGTTGATTTGTCCGTTGGAAGGGCAGCTGTGGCACGGCCGAGTGGCGCCCGCCCCGATCCACTGTGGGCTCGGTGGGATGTGAGGTCAACTTTGCGGTCGCCGCCGCCGCCGCAGCAGCAGCAGCACCAACAAATGATCATTATTTTATCTAACGGGAAAGGAAAAAGTCTGTGTTGCTATGATACCGACTTTTTTTTTTTGCCTCCCGGTGGTTGGTGTGTTCCGTTCGATGAACTAGATTTTGTTCCGTTTGATGGACCTTGAAAGGGAAAAGGACTAAAAAAAATCAACATGTTTGATATTGTTAGGCACACTGATCGCCTACCGGTAGACTACTAACGAACAGATTTTTCGTTTTTGCCGCCACCCCTCCCTTTTGTTTCTATTTTCTTTTTCTTTTTTTGCGCAATCATGTTGTCTGTGTGTGCGTGTGTGTGGTCGTCGATTTTTGGCGGCTCTCACATCTTCTTTCTTCTCTTGACCTTTACCTATTCGAGTCCCCGAGGGTGTCGGGGGGGGGCAAATAAAATGACTCAAGTTTGGTACCGTATGAGAGCCGGACTAGATGCCACACAACACAACACATCAACAAAGGAAGCTTACCTTAACTCGAACCAATCCAGATCGGGGGATTATCTGCCCGTTGCCGGTCCAAAGGTAAAATTCCCATCAGCACGGGTTTGAAATTTCTTTTTGTTTTGGGTTCGGCGCTTGCTCTGACAGACTAGCCCTTCCTGCTTCTACCTGAACTACTAGTCAACATCCTTAGTGCTGTTTTAACTACTTTGGAACATCATGCGGTCAATCATCTATTGAGGGGTATCTGTTTAAGCTAGATAGATGTATACATCATCATACAGGCCATCGTGAAGGGCCCAAAGGTCGACATCATGAAGGTTAGACTTCGAGAGTTGACTCCAAAAAAATCCACCAGAGACCGAAACCACTTGTGTCGGAACACAAATCCACTGCTTCTTCTTCTCTATAGTCTAATCCATCAGACAAAAAAACATTTTCCCCCAACATTATAGGTGTATAGTTCCCAACCTGGATCGAGGGGCAAGACACATCAATTTTCTCTCCATCTGGCGCCGCACGTGGTACACTGGAATGTAATATCCGCTATCAGCAAGGCATGTCGGGCAGTATGCATACATCCCGCAGGAGAGCCGCGGGGAGGGGTAAAACCCAAGAAGAAAAAAAAATAAATGATTAAAATTAGCACCCACCTTCAAGAATGTAGTCATCGGTTCATCTGCACTCCGAATCTGCAGCTGGAAGAAATATGCACGGTCGCCATTACAGTTCTCTGCGGGGCATTGGGCTGAAGGAGGGGGAGGAGGAGGAGGTCAGCCTCTGCAAGCTTCCTTCTCTCTTCTCTGTCTTGTCTCTCCAAGCTGGCGGTATCGAAACACACAGCCAAGAGGGAGAAACATTGAAGGCGAAGCAACTTACTGGCCACGCTATCCGCATTCGCAAATTCTTCCTTGCCGCCAAATACGTCCTCGACCTCTTTCTGCTTCATCGGAGTCTTCTCGAACCAGCTCTGTTCCAGGACATATTGGTAGGGGCAGGTGCGGCATTCGAAGCGGTTGACGCCCAATGGATGTCTTCCGGTCGGCTCTGCTCGCGAGATGGTGAGCGCATTGCTGCAATTGGGACAGACTATTGAGTAATCGGGGTCAGAGATGTCCCATCCATAGAATCATGTAGCTATAGCTGGGCTGGCGGTACCCCGCGCGCGAAGGAGGGACTCACAGGTCAACGGCATGATGAGGATATTTCCTGGCTAGAAGATCCGTCAATCAAAGATGTCTAGTGGGTAGCAATGTTGGTGTCACGGTAGCAAGTTTCTTCGCATAATGTGTGGCCCTGCATAAAGGCGACTACGGGAAGAAATCCAGTGCAGCAGCTGTCACTGTTTCGCGCAGTAGTCAGTCAGGGTCGCATGCGATCTCAGCGATAAAGAACTAGGCC